CATCATCCAGTTGGTTTCGACTCACGGGAGCCCGTGCACAGCCGAATGAAATGCCGCCCAGATCCCCAACATCCTCACAAGCATCCTTAGTCCATTGTTGCAGCCACTGTCCACCTCCCTGAAGATCTTATTATGGTTTGCTGACCCTCCACTTTACGAAGCACGATGACCTTTACCCAGTCTCTCCTACTAAGTCAAAAGTACGTGAGACAAAATCTTGCCATTCTCAATTCCAAGGAGCTTTCTGATTTGTACTTGTTCCAACGCAGATGTGTTTGTTCTTTTGGCAGCCTGCGATACTTTCAAGATTCTTCTCCAAGATCATCATTTAAATCCATTGATTTGTCAGTCTTCCTCAGTCGTGGTCCAACACCTGTGCATATGAGACCATTGAAAACACTGTGGTCAAAGGGACAGCCTTGTTCCTCAACCTTAAAGGGATCTTCTGTAGACTGACCCATTATGATACAGTTTGCTCTCTTGACTGCTGCCTTTCTGAGCATGGACTGGGCATCCCGCTACACGACATGCTGGCAACTTCTGTCCTTTCTCCCTTTAACATGATGCTGCCTGGTGGTCCAGTTAGGAGGATTTTTGTTTTCTTTAGTTTGAGTCATAATCCACACTGAAGATTGCAGTCTTTGATCTGCATCAGCAAGTAACAATAGCTTCACATTTTGATATCTTTGCTTAATAAAGGAGTCTAAGATTTTGTACCACTGCTTTACAACTTATCCTCATCTATACACTCATATAGCTTCACACAAAATGACTAAAATGTTAACATTCTTTCAATTCTGGGTATTTTTACAATAGCTTATGCTTACCTGTACTTTCTGAGTTGCTTTTTTTTTTTTACATTGACCTTTGCAACGTGCGGAACCACAAGAAGTGCATGACTAACCAAACTTCAGCATAGAAAGTAAGAATTGAAAATACATCTCAAAATAATCACTTAACCATAGAAAGAATCCAGACTCCTAAGATTAGAAGAGGTTCTATAAATCAGAGACGCAAGGCCATTTGTCAGGAGTGACTCTGGGAACCCGACTAGCTCCTTTTAAAATGGTTTAAGTGACATAAAAAGATCGTTTAGAGTATTAGAATGACTGGGGATAAGGCAAGTCGAAAGAAACCAGACAACACAGAGCTCATGCCAGGAACCAGTGGCCCAACAAGGGCTTTGATCTCAAGGACTCAGTCTCTCTGATGGTGAAGACCTTAATCCTGGCCTGAGACAGGCTTGGATGGCAATCTAAGCTTGGCCATTCACCACCGCTACCAATTCCTCATCTGTAAAATGGGGATGATTATATGTACATCATTAAGGGGATTGTATGAAATAATACTTCCAACATGCTTAGTGGTGCTATACAAGCACATTGAGGGAGTAAAAAGAAAATAACCTTAGAACGACTGAAGGCACCCGGTGAGGCAGTCGTGAAGCACATAGCTTGCTAACTGTGAGGTTGGTGGTTTGAATTCCATAGGAGAAAGACGCGGCAGTCTGCGTACATAAAGATTAAAAACTAAACCCAAGTCACTGTCAGCGAGTTGATTCCAACTCACTGGGACCCTAGAAGATAGACTAGAACCGCCCCCGTGGGCTTCTGAGGCTCTAGCTCTTGAGGGGAGGAGAAAGCTGTATCTTTCCTCCCCGATGCACCTGGTAGGTTTGAACTGATGCCCTTGGGGTTAGCAGCCCAACACCATCCCGTGCCACCAGAACTCCACACAAAGATTGTCGGCTGGGAAACTCCGAGGACCACTTCTCCTTCGTCTGGTAGAGTTGCTATGTGTTGCAATTGACTAAACAGTAACATTTTTTTTTGTTTTGCTTTATTTTTCTCGCTTCTATTGATTTCTGACCATGTACTGAATGTTATTCTAAATGCCTTTCTTGTATTAACTGCTTTACTCCTTCCTTCAAACAGCTCTTCGAGGTCGCTTGTTATCAGTACGATCTCAGTTTTGTAGAGGTGACAAAGCAAAAAGAGGTGAAGCAACTTGTCCTAGGTCGCAAAGCTGATCGGTGGCAGAGCTAAGATTTGAACCCAGAGTATTGAGCAACAAGTGCTGTGCTCTTAGACACTCCCTTTCAGCACCTTTTGGACACACAAGTAATCAATTCGTGTGAGCTGCTGGGATTTATGATCAATAGGCAAGATCCATGTGGCAGGAACGCTAGGTAGCAGCGAGGTAGCTTTGTCAGAACCAGGGGCTCGTGCTAGCTGTTCTAGGTGGGCAGGACTTGGTGTTGGATGATTATTATTACTATCATGTTAAAAAACAACCAAACCCTCATAACTAGAGTCATGATAAACGGTGGAAAGACAGAACGTATCAAGGATTTATTTGACTGGCTCCACGGTCAGTGCCCAGGGAAGCAGCCAGGGCATTTTCAATAGTCCCCCGTGCGTGTCCAAGCTGGCCGCGCGCGAGGAGAAGTGGAGAATGATCGACGCGCTCGGACCACGATGTCGGGGAAGACTATTGAAAAGTACCTCAGATTGCCAGAAGAACAAACAAATCTGTCTGGGAAGAAGGGTGCTCCTTAGAAGTGAGGCTGGTGAGATTTCATCTCTTAGATTAGGGACATGTTATCAGAACTCGTTACGGAGTAGAAAACCACGTCTTTCTCCCATGGAGTGGCTGATGGATTCAAACTGCTGACCTTGCGGTTAGCAGCACAATGCGGAACCACCGTGCCCCTTGGGCTCCAGCTTCATTGAAACAAAACCAGTGCTCCATTATGAGAGACAAGATAGAAGCTGTATTTTTCAGATGACAGTTTTGAGGTGAATGCACTGCAGGGCAGGAGGGGGTTCCCCATCCACTGAGGGGCAGGGTGTGCTCGGATTGGCTGTGTCTTCTAACTCCCGTAGTGTGAATCCTCTGACCGTGGTCACTTTCAGCACGAGTCACTGGCCGAGGCATTGGGAAGAGATGCGCACTATCAGCGACATCACTAGCGGGGTGCGGGAGCGCAGCCCACAGCTGGCAGTCCTGTCAGCGGAGGTGACATCAAAAATGATTGCTTATAAAATTTGTGCACAGCGTTTCAGCATAAATTGATCATTTTCAGCAAATCATCTCTGTTACTTAGTTATAATAATAAAAACATGTAAATCAATCCCAGCTTGCATGTATCATGGTACCTTCAAAGCTAAAAGTCTATGTTAATTTACTTTTTGAATCATCTAGTGTGCCCTGGCCTGAGCCAGCATTGTTACCTAATTACAATGGCGATTCGAATCAGTGCTTTTTGTTGTTGTTTTCTTGAATCCAGTGGGTTTTTTTGTCTGCACGTTCTAATAGCACACCTGATTGGTCATGGTTGCTGGTTGTATAAAATTTTCTGCTGTCTTAGCTATAATATTGTGCTCGTTAGTCTTTGTGAATCTCTATCAATAACTTTTTTTTGAGGCTGAAATAGTAATTAATGAAAAAGGAGAACAACAAAGTCTTTTGCTCAGTGACTAAGCGCGTTGCAAGTAAGGATATGGTAATTCAATGTAGAAAGATTTGACTATGTTGTTAGCACTCATGCGATCTAAGAAATATGAAATTTATGCAACTTAGAACCATGCTTATCATATATTATTAGATGATGCAAATTGACAATGAACCTTGCGAAGGATTCTGTAGGAGCCCTGGTGGTTATGCGTTGGGCTGCCAACTGCCAGGTGAGCAGATGGAAACGGCACCATCTGCTCCTAGGGAGACGACGGCTTTCTACTCCCATGATCACTTCCCATCTTGGAAGCTCGCAGGGGCAGTTCTGCCCTGTGCTATAGGGTCACTAGGAGTCTGAATCGACTCAGTGGCGGTGAGAAGGATTCTGTATTATCTGGTACAGGAGGAGGTTGGTCGGGGTGGGGTGTGACACCAGGAGTTACCACACGGGGTGGCCCTAACCTTAGTGATGCCACTGTGAACCATCAGCTTTTGCAAACTGATAAGACCCAGGTCCAACACACGACTGATGGGCCATTCCAAAGCCGACTACCACAGTCCCTCGCAGTGGACTGGGGTCCCGCTATGCGGTGCCAGCCCTCTCTACTCGGGAGCAGCCTCCCAGCTGCAGAGGAGGAGAAGCCTCAGGTCTGTTGGGCAGAGCCAGGCCCCATGCTCCTGTCATGCTGTTTGCTTCTGGGGTTTTAAGGCAGGGTCTCTGTGTGGTTGTTCAGGGAGGCACCGATTATGTGGACCCACAGGTGGGGGTTCTGAACCTGATGGCCCCCTTTAAAATGCAGCTTTTGAATTGTATCTATTAGTGGATCACTTTTTTTTTAAATGTGATGATCGCATGTCATAGTATCAATAACAGGGACCATGGCCACCACTAAGTGGACTTACAATATGCCAAGTACCAAAAAGCTAAATTCACTGCCAGCAAGTCTATTCCAACTCATGGCCACCTTGTAGGGCAGAGTAGAACTACCATTGTGGGTTTCTGAACCTGTAAATCTTTACCGCAGTGCAAAGCCTCATCTGTCTCCGGTGGAGCAGCTGCTGGTTTCAAACTGCTGACCTTGGGGTTAGCAGCCCAAAGCTAGCCCACTGTACTACCGGTGTCAAGTACAACCCATCACCATCATCTCATCTAATCCGCCCAATAGTCCTGTGATTAGATGCTAATATTTTCATTTTACAGATAAGGATATTGAGTCACTGAGAGGTTAAGGAACCTGCCCAAAGTTCCACAGCTAATAAGAGACGGAACTGGATTGAAATATGAGAAAGCATTACCCCCCAGCAGAGTTAGGTAGGGAAGGGACGTTAGGTAGGGAAGGGGGGAGGAAAGGAGTCTCATTTTTTTCTTTATTTACTTCCTTAAAGTTTGACTTCTCACAATGACTAGAGTTAACTTTTGCTATTTTGCTTTTAACGATAGAGATTAGAGTGTTGCCTCTTAAGATATGCCTGAGTTCTGAGCTGTTTCTGTCTACCCTCCACTCTCCCCGCCCACCCCTCCCTGCTTCCCCTCTAATTTCCAGAATAAGAAGAACCACCAATAGAATCCTGGCTTCCTCTTGCTGTAGCAGTAATGTTCTAGGAGCAGTGAACGTGTGCGGCTTTGAGCCTGATCAAGTGAAAGTTCGAGTCAAGGATGGCAAGGTGTGCGTGTCGGCGGAGCGGGAGAATAGGTACGACTGCCTGGGGTCGAAGAAGTACAGCTACATGAACATCTGCAAAGAGTTCAGCTTGCCCCCCTGCGTGGATGAGAAGGACGTTACATACTCCTACGGGCTGGGCAGCTGCGTCAAGATCGAGTCTCCTTGCTACCCTTGTGCTTCCCCCTGCAGCCCCTGCAACCCCTGCAACCCCTGCAACCCCTGCAGCCCCTGCAGCGCCTGCAGCCCCTGCAGCCCCTGCAGCCCGTGCGACCCCTGCAACCCGTGCTATCCCTGCGGAAGCCGCTTCTCCTGTAGGAAGATGATCTTGTAAGGTGTGCACCCCATGGACTTAATCTAGACATCAGTGGTATTTCAGGCAGGCGGCTCTTCTAGGATTTCTCCCCCTTCTAGGATTATTTCAGCCCCCATTGCCCTTGTTGTTCATGTACATAGGAAACTAAATACATAACTGAGCATCCATTGGTGTCTTGTGAGAATCCTTTGCTTCAACAACCCCAGGAGCCCTGCACCGTGGGTGGGCTTGGAGAGATGGCGCGAAAGGGAGCGGGAGATGACATAGGGAGGTCTGCTCCCTCCCATGTCACCCATCAGACCCAGCTCCCTCCAAATGCCAGGGGGGAAATATGGATAAGAAAGATATAGATACTATATTTAAATTTTATAATCTATTAAATCTAATACATGTCTGTATTATTATCATAGATTAAGGTATTATCATGTTGTGTATTAACATACCATTATTCATGAGTATACAATATATTATATAATTAAGATATATTTGTATAACGTATTTTATATGAATAGATGCTTATTTATTCAAATCTGAATATTATATTTAATATATTTATATTATAGTCAGTATCAACTTGATAGAAGTAATATGTAATATTATATAACACATATAGTATGCAATATATTATATCTAGCATATCATATTATATGGAACATCGCATAGTATATAAAATGT